CTGTATTAGTAAACCAGTTGCAGGCTAACACTTGCAAGACCAATGGAGCAAAAATCAACGCACAACAGACGTTCAACTGTAGGCGGATCAAGCATAGAATAGAGAATACAGGACCAGTCCAGATCAGATTTTCGCAACGGTGCAACACATAAAGCCATCATTTTGATTCGGTTTCCTGCATTGATACATGCCTGTGGTTGTTTCTAGTTACAATGCCTATTCTTAGACATTGCAACATTGCTTCCAAGCAAACATGGTGCAGGTGAACTTATACTGTAAGCTGTTCTTATAAAGGATAATATCGCTCAACATCTTAGTGATGCACGTACGTTTGAAGGTTCCGCCCGTCTCATCAGTATACACGCTCCTTACTAAGAGTAGCACAGAGGAAGATTCCACAGTGCTAGTTAATTGGAATGGTACATACTTCACCGTATGCAGTCCCTCAAATTCTCGGACCGACTAAATATTAACCTCGGCATGGTTTAGATGAATGAGTATTCAAAATGAGTGCTTTACAATGAAGCCTTTACTATGAGATCCAAAACTCATTTCTAACGTTTTCTGCTGGCGTTATGGAGGTTTTGACATAGTGGATTGTAAATCAATATGATCCTTCCAGGTTCTGAAGAAGGCGACCTGCCGAAACGTTAGCCACCGCGAATATTGTATATTCATGCTATATTACTGGCTGTATTGTTGTATGCTTCGCTAGTATTCAATAAATAATATTAATAACACCTCGGAGCTGCCAAACAGAAGATACTCATATTCAAACTACGCCGAGGTTAACAGATAGTCGGTCTTGGAATTTATTACAAACTTGCTTACACTTGCTTTAAGATGGAGCTATTGTGGGAACAAATATCCTCACTACTCATGTACGAATAGCGCGTAGAGGAGAATGTTCGTACGGCGGCGCGCAAGATTAATGGAGCTTGGAGCAATGACACGGCTGCAGAAAGCACAGCTAGGAAGTGTTCGGGAAGCTCAAAGTTGGAGAGAACAGTCTCGAGGATCAGTCGCGCTCGGGCCGTCCGCAGAAAGCTCTAGTAATGTTGTGCGCCGCCGCACTAGCGTTTTCCTCTACGAGCCACTTGTATATGAGTAGCACGCGAACTTGTTCCTAAGACAGCTCCACCTTGAAGCAAGTATAGACAACCTGTATGCCTAAATTGTCGCATGAAAATGCGCAATTAAACCACACCAAAATCATGTAGCTTTGATTACTTCTGGTTAATAAAATTGGTGTTTTTATGGAACAGCCTGATAAAAAGATCTAAACCAGTATCTAAGAAGAAGTTCATTCACAGTGCCTTTCCTTTGTGGTGGTGCATCGTCCGAATCAGATATGCCAGAGTCATTCACTTCTTCATGCCTTGTCTTGAATTCCTATTTACCCCGATTCACATAGAACCCGCCTTGAACAGTGTCCATAGTTGACGAAATCAGCTCGTCATACTGTGAATGAAGTGATTCATAAAGTTTATGGTTTATAACAGATACTCCTTTATTTGAAGATCCTATTTCTTCAAGAAAAAGTACTCCCCACAGAAGATATATTCACTTTATCACTTCATTTGAACCCTTTAACAGAAAATTATTCCTACCCTTCCTACTATGCGGATCCCACTCAACTCGTCTCTTCGCGTTTATCGATTGACTGAGGATTTCATCTTCCTGACAGCATATTTTTAACCTTTCATGAGGTCTGTTCAGGCACCCTAGTGTTACACGTACGTTTCGGCTTATTCTAGCAAGCCTCATTAGAACGTAACTCTAGGTTCAGCCAATGCCCTACACATAAGGGAATCGAAGCCGAAGATGCCATACTGCACGTAAGGTGATGAGATCTTAGGATTTCATTTCTCTCGTGTACGTCGTAGAATACTGGTCATGAGTGTTCCGTGAGGCGTTCGTTATGACTGTCGGAGAGTGCTGGAATAGGCGCCTAACCCTGCGCCCAGCTGCGCGGAGTATCACTAGCCACTCGTTCACCGGCTCTCACAAAATATACGGACTTCAAGGCGGATTTGAGATAGCTACGCGCACTCCAACAACTCAAGAGGCAACGATGTGCGCCAAGTGTTAAACTCAATGTCATTTTCACTGCTACAGCGCTTAAAGAAGACCTTTCCGGAAACCAACTGCAGTACTATAATCGCCGTTATTTAAGATATCGAATGAGTACTAAAAGTTGCACATAAAGAGAAAAAGTTCATACATGATGGTCGGGATCTCCCTCCTCGTCTCGGTACAGTTGATTCTCAGAAATCTCATAGTTAAGGCTTTCGTACGTCGACGACAACGCATGCTCTCTTTTCTCCTCTCTTTCTGAACGCTCTTCCACACGTCTACGGATCTTCCCCTCATCATGAAATGTCTACTATTACTTGAAACAAGATGACATTACTTGTATGACTCAAGTCCTACCTCTCTTCGCCTGCGCGATAACGAGCTGACGCGTGGAGACAAACTTACACGTTCAAGTCCAGCAAATGGGTCTTCATACGGATCAAGACTGAAATACGGCTCACATAAACACGTAATATACGTGTATATACATGCTGCGCAGCTATATTGCATGCATATACATATATATTAAAAAGTGAACAAGCTCATATAGACGTAAGTGGATATATATGTGCACATACGCATCTATTAATACGTATATATATGTATAGACACCTATATATGTGGGTACATAATTCGCTTACAAATGTGTATAACTATGCAGTTCACATATTTAGGTGTACGCAAGAATCCACTCTACGCAATCACATACGTATACGTGCGTGTATGTATTTACGTATATGTACATAAGCAAAGATGTATGTATATGCACATATATACATATATATATATCTATATCTATATCTATATCTATATCTATATCATATCTATATATATATATATATATATATATATATATAGATAGATAGATAGATATAGTTTATTATTAGGTCGCCCTATAAGAATTGGCACAGCGCAATAAACGTCAAATCTATTAACTAAAAGCAATAAAAATTGCATAAGTTTGGTATCGTTCAATTGCGCATTTTCTTGCGAAAATTTTCGTTTCAATGCTCGTCGTGGCACGCGTGGAGACATACTCCCCCCCCCCCCTCCCCCTCCCTCCCTCTCAATCTTCTTCGGCAGTCAACAACGAACTCCCTAAGGAACGCCATAGCCTGGCTATTTTCGAGATTGCAAGGAGACATGCTCGACCAGTATTCTACGTCATTCAAAGAAGAAGACGAAAAACGAATCGAATGCTAGAAGAGTCGGGATCCGCACGACAAAAAACTGTGATGACGGGTTGTGTAGATGAATAGATAAATGAATACTTCCTTTGAAATGGAGTTATCATGGGCACGAATTCGCCTGCTACTCGGCACAAATGATGCACAGGGGAATGGCTAGTGAAGGGGAGCGCAAGATTAATGGAGCTTCCTGTGGGCAGCCCGACCGCGACTGATCCTCCAAACTGTTCTATCGAGCTTTGAACGTCTTCGCGAATCACTTCCTAGGCGTCCTTTTTGCGACAGTACCATTGTCCCAAGCTCCATCTCACGCGCCGCTTCGCTAGCATTTTCCCCTAGGCGCCATTCGTGCATAACTGGATTGGCGAACGTATTTGATACAACGACAGCTCCATTTGAAAGCAGATATTTATCTAATTATTTACACTACCAATCACCAAAATCTCTTATTCTGCAGATTCCAGCACTTGTAGCATTGAGTTCGCTTTTCGCCTTTTGCTAGAATGCCGCAGAATACTGATCGAGCATGTCGCCTAGCAAAATTCAACGATAGCCTGACTGTGGTTTTCCAAACGGGGTTCTTGGTGACTGCCGGAGAGGGTTGGGAGTGGTGCTCGGCACCACGCGCGCCACAGCGAGCATCACAACCACTCGGCCACGGCGCCCCGAAGCAAGTTCAGGTAAGTTGTATTTCAAAATGTTGGTAAGAAAATGCGCAACTAAACCATATCAAAATCATGCAAATTTAATTTTTTCTGGTTAAAAAAATCTAATGTTTATTGCTTCAGTGGCAACAATTATAGAAAGAACTGACATATATATATATATATATATATATATAATATATATTATATATATGTATATATATACATATATATGTGTATGTGCACGAGGGCATACACATATACATATGTATTTCATACATATACATATGCATATACATATAAATATGCGAATGTAAAGGGAACCTTGTGGAAGCAACAGCCCGTTGACGGCCGAGAATCAGAGGCGTTCTGTCGTTCATTGGCGTTACCTGAATCAAACTGAAACATTTCCTTTCGTCATTACAATAAACTCGAGACGAAATAAAATTCATAGAAGGTTAGAGTCCGGGAGACGTTCCAGAGATCAACTGCTGAGGAGAACAGCTACTGGAAACGACTGTCTCGACGACGACGATGGAAAACACTGAGAGGAATTGTTTGCGGACGAGTCGATCGCTGGCCGGTGGAAGATTCGTGGATTCCCTCGACAATCCCGAAAGATCCAAGACTACTTCGTCTCCTAACGAATAGTAAGATAGAGGCTATATAAAATTAATAACGATTAAATATACACAGACGTTGCGAAATAAGCTCGCGTGTAATTACGTACGAACATTTTAATTGACGCCGTCGTCGTCACTACAAAGTTTAGTTTAAATTATAGGCGTTTTTTTTTTGTTTGTAGCTATACAAGATCTTTCTAATACTGCCTTAGCGATGGGTTGATGTCACAAATATCCCTCGCAAAATAGCAAGCAAAAATTCGGCCACATGAGGGAGTGGAACCTATGTTCCTGCGATTACCACGGCGCATGCTACCACTACACTATCGAAGCCACTTGTTAGCTACCAAGTTTCGCTCGATATCAAATATCGACAATTTTCGCTTTTCACTCAAAACTCGTATGTGGATATCTGAAACATCCTACCACTCTTGAGGCAGTTGTTGAAGAATGAGTGGTGGCGCAAATGTGCCTAGGAGGTGTAGTGGTAGCACGCGTTGCCGGCATGGATAAAACGCGGGTTCGACTCCCGCATGAGGCCGTATTTTTGCTCACCACTCAGTTTCGCTTGGGGGTATTTCAAAGATCATAACACTGCCAAAAAAGCAGTAAGAATGTTGAAATTCTCCTGAAGCACTCAAATTAAGAATTGTGTAGGCTCCACAAATCCAATAACTCTCGGCTTATCTGGGTTTTACCCCGATTCGTGGTCACCAGAACAAGACCGATCAATGTTGGTTACTGACAATAATGGGATAAATTTCGAAGAACGAGTGGTAGTGAAGCTATGGCCTTGGTGATGTAGTGGTAGCACGCGCCGGCAGTCGAGGGTGAGACTCGGGTTCAACTTCATCTGAAGTCGCGTTCCTGCTTACAGCTTGACACTCGTAGATGGATATCTGTGACATCATACTACTTCTGCAAAGTCAAATAAAGTATCTGTGTAGATTCTACATATCCAAAAGCTCTCGGCTTCGTTCAACCCTGATTCCTGGTTACCCGAACAAACCCGTGGAAGGTTCGCTGCTGACGTTGCGATAGGATATGTCGAAGAAGCATTGGTAGCCAAGAGATGGCCTTGGTGGAATAGTGGTAGCCCGCGCCGGCGGTGAAGATTGAGATGCCGATTCAAGTCCTTCGAGATCGAGGTTATGTTTACCGCTTAACATCTGGATATGAATGGATTCTCTGATGTTTGATCTTGGTTTGGAGATGCAGGTTATCTCTTGCATGATACCCCGAATATCATTGTAGAACGTTTCATTTCCCAATCATGAACCAGATGACGGAGAGTTCAGATAATCGGCAACGTTTCTCTGCCTTACACCGAGCTCGGTCTGTGATGGTGTAGTGGACTGTGACACTGAAGATGACGGAGTCAGACTGCACAGGTTGCATCTGAAGAGCCTTGGTGGGGTATCATAGAAGACATAACGTCCATGATGTGCTCCTTCAGTCTATTTTATTTTGTTATTATGCACTTCTTATCTACTTGCAACAACTCAAGTATTAAAGCAATCGAGCTAATCACGTGAATACACACACAAAGTACCATTCCGGTACTTTGTGGTTATAAGGTGACAAATGAAAAACCAATCTCATTCGCTGAAGAAGAACTTTCCATAGGAGCGCTTGTGACCATTTGAAAGCTGAGACTTGAGTACCTCCTCATGTTCGCCGGTTTTTCAAAACACCCCTTTGTAAAGCTGTAACTTTCAAAATAAGATCATTTTCATAAAACCACGTGTTGTTTTCTCTTATCTCGTTTATATATCGCTGGACAAAACTCTTTTCTGAGGGTGGTAATGCTCAAACCATAGCTCAGGTTTCAAAGAACTCAAAAATGTTTTTGATTTTCAAAAGGCTCTTTTGATAGATTTCCTGCGGTCTTTTAATTTGTGCTTCAAACCTCACCGGACAGAGCTCTTTCATGAGACCAACAGTAATCACCTGATAACGTAAAATTTTGTGATTCTAGCGATGTGCTTATTTTTCGGAAATGCGGTTTACCAAAAGTATATGCTCGATTTTTACATTTCTAGTAACGTAGTTTACAAGCTAGATTTCGGCTTCTACATCATCCGTGAGCGTCGGTTAATTTTCTTTACCTATTTTTTGATTTCGGCCTAACAATATCACCGAATCAGCTAGTAGGAAGCCCGGCCAAGGATACGTCGCCGAAACCCATCCTTTGGAAACGACATCATGAAGACCTGAAAAAGCCATTGCAAGGTTACTTCAGTAAACCAAGGTATATTAAATGCACAACCAGCAATATACCATTTGAAATATGTACGGGGATCCGCACAACTAGTGAAGACGGACCATCTATGTATCTAAGTAAGTAAGCAAGTTTACAAGCTATTTGACAAGGCGATCGCCTTGGTATGGGGAGCGGCAGGGGCGAGGCGAAGCGGGACGATAGATATTTTGTTATTCAATTGGGATGTTTTCCTCCGTTTCGAAAGAAACGTCAAATAAAACGATTGACCATGATACTAAAAAAATTTCTCTACACATTGATATGCTTTTCGATTTTCAGCGAATCATACGCGTGATAAAAATGGAGGCGAAAGGCGAGTGTTTAACATAATTTTTGACTTGGATGACACAGCGTCATAAAGGGTGTTTTAAAAAGCCGGCGAAGTGGGGCTGTGGCCACAAGTCTCAGCTTTTGGATGGTTACTGACACTCCTTTAAAAATTTCTTCTCCAGCAAATGATATTGGTTTTTCATTTGCACCCTCATAACTGATGAGAACTATCTGGGCTAATTTGAGGACTGTGAGGGATCTGGTCGAGTGATTAAGGATGCTTGATGCGGCTTGACGCAGAATTGATTTCACAGCCTCCAACACTCTCCGGCAATCTAGAACAAGCGCAAGAGGAATGCTCTTGCCCGGCTATCCTTGAGGCTGCAATGAAAAGGGATCAATAAGTATTATACGAGGTTCACGAAGAAGATGAAATGCTGAAGAAAACGAGGAAAGGAATGAAATGTTGGAAATAGTGTACCTGCCCGTTGTAGAGAAGTGTGATACGTGTCAAGTGAAATGATGAAGAAATCTGAAGACAGTATATCAGAATTGCGATTGCCGAGGTTGATCTAGATGAGAAAGGCGTTCTGTTTGACGGACAATGTTTCCAGTGGCTTGAAATCTATAATTTAATAATCTATGGACTATAGCGATGGTATTCACGAAGAGAACTGTCGAGGTTTATGCCTTCTAGGCGAATCAGAAAAAGCATGAGTTTGTTGAAACTTATTATTGTCGTCACATTGAACAACTTCAACTCAAATATACGCGACGTGTGCTGATGGACGAAGTCCTCCAGAATTAGAAGTATGTTAGCGAATCATCGGGTAATGCGCTTTCAGCTACAGGAAATGTGAGAATCGATTTACTTTTACCTGTAGTGATTGCAAATGTGTATCACAGGTGCTGTTGTGATCTTGAGTGATCTTGCCATAGTAACGGAAATTATTACGCATTTTTCGTCCTTATTTCAAGTCTGCAATGGAATAGATGGTTACGAGCAGGTGACGAGAGGGCTGCAAATGTGCAATGAGCTTAGTGATTTGCACAGAGTTGGCAAGCCAGTCTCATTATTTACTTTATGATAATTGAGTGCCCCTCTGCCTCGGAGAAAGCCAAGCGCATCTGAAAAGGTTAATTGTGCGACAGTATATGGAGTTTTATGGACGGTGAGGATGAAATGGGCTGCAGCAATGTAAGATCGTCGTACTTCAAATTTCATGTTTTTCAATGATCCCTTTAGTGTCCCAATAATTTGACACGCTGCCTTCACGAATTCATTTGTATTTCAGAAATTGCGCGAAATGATGATTTATTTGACTGTCTGGATGACATCGATAGAGCTGATTACACATGCAATAGGTTCAAAGTGTTTGGAAGCTGAATATTGTGCGGAATCGAATTCATTGTTCTTAAAATGCACTGGACATTACTATAACACGTTCATGTGTAAAACGACGTCGTACTTCTTCAGAAGGGACGAAATTTGTGGCCGCTCTAATGGCCCGGCGCCAATAAGGTTATTGTGCTAGAGGAGCTTTTATAGTGGCTCTACATAACTTGGAATGTCTTAATTCTTAGTTGACTAACCCATTATCTAACATTTTTCTTTTGTGAGTAAAGTGCATGTATAAGTGTAGTACTGTAGGCAACTACCTTCATGCTAAATTTGCGTAAAAGCCGTTGAAGAACATTCGCGACTTTCTCAAATAGAGGAGTACACAGCTCCTCCACCATTTTAGAGAAAATATAGGTGATGGCTGGAGAAAAAGGAACAAAATAGAAGCGAGGGGCGCAAGAATTCAATTTCAAATTTCACCTTATAGATCTTTGTCGCGAATGAAACGCTTGATGTTTAGACAAGTTGGTTCGGTAAGCATGCGTCTGCCTCTTGAATTTTTCGTACTCCTCATAAAGGCTTAGCCAAGAAGTCTTCGGCATGGGATCCTGTAGCGCAGTGCAGTTTTTTCTTCTTTCAAACTCTGTCTGAGTTTTACACGGACTGAAAGGGTAAGTCCATAGTTCACAAAGAAACCTGAGCGGAAATGCTTTATATGAAATTTCTAAATCACGTCACGGCAGAACTAAGATCCTAAATGGTTTCCAGTATTCAAATTGAGCGTGCTTCAACAATTCTAATTTACGCTTTGTGATTAACGCAGTGTACCGGTTCCTATGCAATTGATGAAGCAAGATCGAGGTTTTCATAGTCCTACACTCCCACCGATAAAATCCTAATTTTCAATTCCGTCTGAGCTAAATATCATGCTATGACATCACAACATATGAATATAAAAGAGAGCTTTATATAACAATTTAGGAGTTGGACCGTAAAATGAATGTTAACAGTTCAAAGTTTAATATAACGTGACACAATTTTTTTTTAGCCTTTCAGAGGTCTGGTATGGCCCTCAAATGCTAGACGTGCGTTTCAGCTTTCTCGCATGCCTCATCAATATCATATGCCGTTCGGCTGGCTTCTCGTCCCCAACCATTGTGGGGAATCGGCGCCGAAGAACTTATCTTCTTTGTTAAGTGAAAAGATCACCCAGCTTGATGTTCCTTCACAGTGATTGATTGTTGACTGTCGTTTGCTTGGCTTACGGCTTGCGCCAGTGTATATATATATATATATATATATATATATTTATATATATATATATATATGAGTCGAAACTTTGGATGCCTTCTACCATTTTTCAAATATGAGATTTTCCTAACATCGACATTTCAACTGCGCCTCATTAACGCTAAGCGATCTTCCATCCTGTTTTACATAGTTGCCAAATTCTGATGCATCTGTTGAAGCACGGATGATTGTTGAGTCGAAGGAGTGCGAATGGAGTCAGATAGTCAATTTCATTTTTACTGTATAGTTGATGCTCTTAAACGCTTCCAACTCGTTCGTTTCATTAAGCTCAGTTCTGGAGCTTCATCGCTCACATTTATGACTTTCTGACTCAAATATATGATTGGGTCATTCAGAAATCATTCGTTTCTCATGT